CATTTCTCCGCTACTGCGCACATGTATACATGAACACATACTTATACATACTGGCATAACCACATATGTGCCTCCGCGCAGACGTACCCCTTCATGCATATGTTCTACACATGCGCAATTGTATGGTGTACCCCTCGCCCTTCCTCCGTTTTACGCACGAGTTATGTTTCTGGAAAAGTTCAACTGATGATGCAACTCGAGAGGAACAAAAGAGGACACTCATTTTAATACTGGTGATTTGTGTTTTCCATCATTTTATTTGCGCCCGTCCATTTTTGTGACCTCCTCAACTTGTCAGGTTTGTGTTTTCCCCTTTACAATTTCTTCCCCCGTTTTATGATTTTGCCGTTACTACGTCGATTTACCCTTCCTGCAACGCTTTCTTTCGCCTTACAATATGCATTTTTGCCTTTAATTCGATGCTTAATACCCCCTTTTATTTGTTTTAAACCACACGCCCTTCATACAAAATCTGATAGCGAGACATTTGCGAGTAAGACACCTCCCCAAGCTAACCACGCTTACCAAGCTCACCACGCTGACCACGCTCCCTCTCCACAATCACGATTTAATGATTTGCTCAAATTAAATGTCTACAACCCCATCTGGAGTGTTTGAAATGCAGGCATTATTCAGTCCCCCCAGTTTACCCCTTTTTTTCATGATTAAATAGAAACCCATGTAGTAATTAAAAATAACGTAACGCTTATGAAGCCAACAAATTGCCTGAACAAGTCAGTTTTTTTTTTTTTTTTTTCTCCGCTTTGTCCATAGTTTCCATTACGCAGAGGAGAAAGCTTTGGCAAAACTTTGCCAAAAATTTGCCAAAATTTTCCCACAGTTGCCCCATGTAGACTGCGCAAACGGCACCCTTTCTATGTGAAAAAATTTCCGTTTTGTTTTCTTCCCGTTTTTACTCTTTCATTTTTGGTTAATTTTTACTCCTTCGCGTAGATGTTTGCACGTTTAATGCCGCCCATTCCTGAGGTAACACCGGCTTGAGGCGCACTTTTCTCGTTAACAACCCCTCCATGATGAAACGTCAACCGAAGCCCGGGCGGGTGTAAGTAGACACGCTCCTCAGAAGGAAACCTGCTCCGGCTGTTT